AACAGTTCTAAGCGACTACTACGAAAATGGAGGAAAACAAGGGGATGAAATTATAATGAGCAGAACGAGAGATGTTAATTTAACAATATAATTAATTTAGAATTGAAATGTACTTCCTCTCCACCATACAGTGCTTTCCATCCCCTACTTATTTTCTTTGAATGGTTGAAGCCATTTAAAAATGTCGGGCTGAAAGACTGACAAGGTTGAGCAATGTTATACATTTAGTCCCTTATAGCTCAACAACGAATCATCAAAACGCTATGATCAACGCTATTATTCTACTCATATTGTAAGGAGCTACCGAATACGTACAAACTATTTCAACTGTATTCGTGAATATCTAATGAGGACGGATCTACCTTTGTTTCCCTATAATTATCATAATCGATTAGATAGGGCTGGGTACACGTATCTACCAACAGTGGCGGATCCAGGTACGGTGTTCTGGAAGTCCGAACACCCCAAAATATCACACTAAAAACGTGATGGGTATGGTCCTGTTCATAAATCCTGATCCCTCACCCCGTCCCTTACCGGCAAAAAATTTCAAACTCATCAGATGGACCCTCCTTCAAAATATTTTCTGGATTCGCCCTTGTGTACCAAGATTCAAAGAAAAAATGTGGCTGGAAAATTGTGATGCTGTAAAAAAACCGGATGAAGTCGATGAAACGTCGTGTAGATTTTTTAAAACTTGGTAGTAATTCTCCTTCATACTTTCAGATTGACTATTAGAAGGAACAGGCATACAGTCCGTACAATTTACAAATCTGTTTTACCCGAAAATAACCAGTTGTCGTTGGCTCTATCGATACGCATACCATGCAAATAGGCACTGCCGAGCCAATGTTGCCAGTTACACTACCTATGATGCTCAGGCTATGTAATAAACGTAGGAAACCGACTACGTATGTAAATTTCTGAGATTTTCTCTACGCAATTTTCGTCGATATGATTATAGGCAACTGCCAACATTTAGTACTGAATACTAATCTATAAAATAACCTTCTAAACCCAACCTTAATATAACGCATATAATAGTGTTAAATAATAGTGAATAGACCCCCGAGGCACCAGCTTTGTACTCCAAATTGTACAAAAGCAGTATATCTCTAGTTCATACAGGCTTGTCTATACAAAAAACAAAAGCTGATGATTAGAAAGAACTGTTGTAATGTAATAAAAAATCTAATGTGAGGTGAGACGGCAGCGGAAAAGTAAAATAAAATAAATGAAAAAGTACTCGCCGTCTATCGATAAGAAGTTTCAAGTACAGCTCTGTCACTTGTAAGTACTGTTCAAAGTTGTCTGCGATAGATTCAAACATGTATGTGGTCGACATAGCCAGGCATCAGTGTATGCAGTGGACTGCATTTAATGAATGAATGCAGCTGATTGCTAAATTTGCCGAAAGTAGCTCGTCAACCGCGTTCACCTCAGTTTCATACACTAAACATTCCATTTCGCCCCAAAAAAGGATACGAATGCATTCGCGAAGACTCGGTAGCATTGTGAAGACACTCACCGTAAATTAAAATAGTATGGACAACTGCTGTATGGGTGAGCCATTTTTGTTTTGTTTATTTAGAACCGATGTGTAAAGGTTTTGTTTACTATTGTGGCCAGTGCCTAAATTGAGTACTGATGTGCATCTTACATATTCACGTTTGATCTGACCGAGGTGCAGGACCAGATAAGGCTTTGTTCAGGTTTCATTTATTTTTCGGGACCTAATACCTCGGTAATCTTGAGACTGTGCTGTATATGTTACTAGAAGAAACTGCTCATTATTTCAAAATCTATACGCTGCGGAAAGGAGAATTCCGACTTTGAGGACACCATTTATAAATGAAAAAAATTCAGAAATATAAATTCGTGCATTTCTTATTCTGTTGGTATTACAAATACAATCGAATGGATACGAAAAACTGGGTACGCGTAGTACGCGTCAAGTTTCACAAGAATATTCAAGGTGTATGAAAGGTTGTGAGGTATAAAAAATGGCCAAAGCCTATCGAATATTGGGATATAAGAGGCCAAGGGCCTATAAACGAGAGGTCCATCGTCAAAAAATTCCCTTTCCCCATGAAACACCCTGTATCTAGCTCTTGAACCAATACCGGATGTTCCACAAAAATCCAAAACGTAAACGCAAATCATACTAATGGATTGGTGTTCTGACAGCTAAAACAATTTGGCTTAATTTAAACACAAAGCTTACCCCCCGAAGCAGCTGTGTTAGAGTGGAACGTTGGCAGATGTTTACAAGGAAGGGAATGGAAAGTGTAAGAAATCCATTCTCCGCACTACCACGCCATGGAGTGAGCCAACCACCTAAGGCTGAGGTCACACTGGATGTTAGGTGCTGAGGTGGGATAATAGGATAACAACAGGCCACATAGGAATATAGGTGATGGGATTAGATAACAAAAAGATAACGCGATGTTATATCATAAACTATGATTTAAAGCCTACTGAAATCATGGAAGATTGAACTATACTGAAGGTAGTTGTGGTTCGGGAAGTAATCATGTATAGTCACATATGGGTATTTAGAGTTATTGAGTTCATAGAAAATGCTTGGACTGAATCTCCTTGTACAGACCACACAAGAGTGATTATTGCAAGATCCTTCTTGTAGCATCGTTCTCCGCGTTCTGCTGCGTACGAATATTGCTAGAACAGCAATAACTATAGAACTGCCATAATAAAACGCTCGGTGACAGGTAGCTACTCTCGTAACCCCCGAGACTATTTTCGCATAGTGTCTTCTAATTTGTATCCCAGTCAAGTGTCACCCTGTTTGGAGTGCTCAACTTAACGGTGTAGGTGTATCTATCAAAGAGCCGTTCATTTTGGCTGGCCGGAGTCGAGATCACCAAGTATTTGATAAACACGTCTCGTCATTAGCGGCAGCCGTTGGGAAAAAGCTAGGTTATTTGTTTAGGGCTAAGAAGGACTTTTCTCCACATAACCTCACTCTGTGCAAGGTCCAGATAAAACCTAGCCTCGAGTACTGCTTACATCTTTGGGGTCGCCCCCACTACATGATCCATGCTCGATGAGGTTCAGAGGAGAACTGTCCGATTAAACGATGACTTTTCTATAACGGACAGTCTCGATACCCTTTTACATAGACGAGCTACTATGTTAACAGGCGCTGCTTCTCTGAGCTGTTCTCCATGATGCCGTCGCGCGATGAGTCTTCCAATCAGGCCCGCCTGACTTCGGCCTCCCATACTAACTATGATGAAGTTCGTACGTCCAGAACTATCCGGTACGACTGCTCTTTCGTCTTCAAATAATCTAGTAATCATGAGCAGTCCAAAAATCGGGTTAACAACGCCGCTTTAAGTTCCTTAAAGCAGCCGCGGTGCCCTGGTATTCAGGCTGGCTACGCGGATGTTTCGGTATAAAAAAGGTGGAAGGAGCAGGTGAGTTGATGATCAAATTGCGCTGAGTGAAGTTATCTTATGGAAGTTGAGCTTCACACAAAGAACTATAAGGCTACGGTTATAGAAGGTATCACCAAGCAATCAAATTTTTGTGAATGCATATCTGCTAAAGAGAGACTGGCGTTAACATTAAGGTAAGAGTGCACATTATTTTAATGTTCCTACTTTATTATTATTATATATTTGAACTTAATAACTATTTTAAACCAAAGCTAATAGAAAAACAAAGTCGGAAAGGATTTATTTTTGGGGGTTGATTTGTGAAAAATATGAAGCTATGTCTCCATACTGCTGGTGAATAGCACTTTCTTCACTACTTGGCCCAGAAGGAATCGTTGATTCTGAGGAGCTGTGATAATTTTCCATGGAACCAGTTTGTCCACTAGTTGGCGCAGAAAGATTTGTGAACTGTGGAGACCCATCGTAATTTACTATAGGATGATGCGGAAACTCTGCTGATGAGTGCCTGTTAAAAGTAGATTGGTGCTGTGAATCTGAATTTAAGTCATTGCCGTATGGTCGTTGCTGTGCCAATTTCTGTTCAACACAGAACACCTGTTATAACTTAGTTCTCACATCCAGTTTCCTTTCTTCAGGGACTTTTCTCAGATAGGGGAGTAAGCTCATCAGAAGATGATAGTCAGCATCCTCTTGAATTTTTGCTTGATTACACACTTCACTTTTTCGCTTAAACTCTTTTAACTTATCCTGCTCGATCATCACAAGTTGTTGCATTGCATTAGATTTGGTATTAGATTTTACACTTTTTATACGTTTGCTTTGAGGGGAGACAAACTGGGGAGACTCTATGTTTTTTTAAATTTCTACATTCCGTGCTGCATTTTGATCGACGGCGGCATTTTCAGTAGTTTCGACAACAAAATCATCTTCCGGTAAATCATCAGGTTCTTCATCATCGTTTCCAGATTGAGCGTTTACTTCCGGCTCCAAAATAATTTTCTACCTGTGAATTGATCTTTTAAAAACAGCATATTTTGAAAATACGGCCATTTTGATTCTTCAGCTAGTCCTCCCTCTTGACCAGGACGTGTTTTCGGTAACTTGTTTAGCTCTTTAGGAAAGGTGTCTCGCAAACCACGCCACTTATTTTTCACGGCTTCGACTGAAAAAAAAAACTTATATAAAACTTATATAAATAAATGCTGGCATATCCTGTACCCCGGATATATGATAAGTCTACGTTCTTGTAAATTATTCGAAATCGTGATTTTTTTCGAATATCTTCCCAAGGGTTTCGAATTTTTAAAATATGGAAACATCGTATTAGCTGGTTCAGTAGGGTGCAACTTTTTCCTAATTTTAATATACGCTTTTCTCAAATTAAGATCTCTGTAGAATCCATTTTTATCCAGGAAACTGTATTTTTTTTAATATCATTATTATTTCTTTTGTTGCAGGTATCTTTCAACTGGGATGTCCTTTAGAGCATTGAGCTTTTCATACAGAATTTCACATACTGCAATACGGCAGATAGTTTATGAGACTTGTCTTGCAATATGGAATAGTTTTCGAAATAAACATATGCTGGCTCCTACAACCGATTTGTTCTACTGCTACTTCAAAGCGTGGAATTTCCCGAATTGTGTCGGCTGCATAGATGGTAAACACATTCGAATAAAATGTCCTAAAAACTCGGGATCGATATATTATAATTATAAACAATATTTTTCGATTGTGTTGCAAGGCATAGCTGATGCAAATTACAAGTTTGTGACTATTGATGTTGGTGCTTACGGAAAGCAAAGCGATGGAGGAATATTTTCTCTCTCCAATATCTACAAGTGTTTAAAGACGAACACATTCAATATGCCAAGCCCTGAATATTTGCCCTCAACAGAAATCAAAGCTCCTTATGTAATATTGGGTGACGAAGCATACCCACTGAAGCCATATTTACTTAAGCCATATTCTAGACCATATCTCTCAAATGAAGAGCGAGTTTTTTTTCTAGAGCTCGACGTTGCATTGAATGCGCATTCGGTATACTAGTAGCTAAGTGGAGGTTTTTAAAAACCGAATTGCAAATGAATCCCGAGAACGTTGACATTTTAGTCCAAGCAGCATGCCTACTGCACAATATACTCATTGACAATGAAGGGGTTCCAGCACACCCTGAAGAGAGTATACACAACGATAAAATATCTGTTTCAAGGCGCTACAACCATTATGGAGCAACAGCCAGTCGAGCAAGAGACATTTTCAAGAATTACTTTTTCAGCCCCGGAGGCGAAGTACAATTCCAATATAGTATTTTTACTAAAGAAGCTTTCTAGCGTATTTAAAAAATGTAATGTAAACAAATAGAATATTGATATAAATTTACTTACCATTACTTTCCATTTCTCCAGCAATTTTTTCCCATCTTTGGCGAGAAATATCCCTGTTATGGTAGTTTTTTTGCTGCATATCCCATAAACTTCTATTTTCAAAAACTAATCTTATAAGTTTTTCGACATCCATATTTTTAAAAATAAAATATTAAACAAATCGCAACAATTCGCATCAAAAAATCAAAACTGCTTGAACGACCAGCTTGTTCTGACGTATTCGTGTGTAATCTGACGATCGATCCGCATACAGCATAGCCACAATTATTGCCATTGTATTTGTTGATTTGTTAGTGCGAGTTCTGACTTGTTCGTCAGAACGATAGTTCGTCAGAATACGCATCCACTATAACCGTAGCCTAAGTCAATCTATTTATTTATATCGCATGACATGGACATTGTAACGTAGCTGCCAAAAACCTTGAAAAAACACTAGTTGTATGTTCTACAGGGTGTAAACGTTATGGTAGTCATTATTGAAATGTGTAATAGGGGAGGTCAAAACAAGTCAAAAAGTTCATATGACCCATGATATAAAAGTTAATAGATTTTGTCTAAATGGCTATATAGTTTACAACTTTAAGTGCACAATCACCATAATCTTACCAATTTTTATAATCTAATCTGAAACGTTTTTAAATTGGGTAATTAACAAGTAAATGGTATTAGGTTTTTCCAAGTTAAGCCAAAATTTGTAGTCAGTAAGTAAGTAAGTTTCATTAAATTAAATATTTGAAACAGACATGACAAAACGCGTCGGTCATTCATCACCCTTATCGAACCGCAAATCGATCGCAAATGGTAACATTGGTTAGTTATTGTTCGCGTACGTCGTCGTGTCTATTTATAATGTTCTCAAATCAAGAGTTCACCGACATGTTGTTAGTTTACGGTGAAGCTCGTCAGAATCCAAATCTTGCAGCTCAAATTTATCGCGACAGATTTCGCCAACGGGTACACCCAGACAGAAGGACATTTGTGCATGTGTACCAAAGACTTCGAGATACAGGAAGTGTTCAGCCCACTAATATTCGCACGCGTGAAAGACGGGTTACTGTAGAGCAGGAAGAACAAATTTTAAATATCGTGGAAATCAATGCATACTTATATCAGCCGTCGGGATTAGGCCGCCGCGTAAGACTATCGCATACCATAGTCCATAGAATCTTACGGGAAAATTTGCATTATCCCTACCATATACAACGAGTGCATTCCTTTTTACAAGTCTTCGCAGACTAACATTCTGTCAGTGGCTTTTGCACAAAGTCCGGATTTTTTTAAAAACATTCTAGCGACGGACGAATGTACTTTTACGCGAGACAGGATATTAAATTTCCATAATACTCTACACGTGGGCTCAAGAAAATCCTTATACCATTCGTGAAGGTCATTTCCAATAACGTTTTAAAATAAAGATTTGGGCGGGTATTCTTGACGATCAGGTAATTGGCCCTTTCGAGTTACCCCCAAAGTTGTCAGGAGAAGGATATCTTAGGTTTCTAGCCAATGACCTACCAGAACTTTTGGAACAGAACTTAGACAACATGCCATTACAACGGAGACATAATTTGTTTCTTCATGACGGGGCACCACCACACATTTTTAGAGACGTCATCCAGTATTTGAGTGAACATTATCTAAATCACTGGATCGGTCGAAATGCTCCTGATCCTCGAAAATGGCCAGCAAGGTCTCCTGACCTCAAGCCTATGGATTTCTGGTATTAGGGTTTCCGGGGTTGGTACAATAACAACTGAAGCACAACTTCGCGAAAAAATTTAATGCGGCTGAAATAATAAATGGACAACTTCGAGGACCTAGAGTAAGAAGAAACTGGGTTCGCAATGAAGCTTGTGTGGAAAATGGAACACAATATTTTAAACGCCTTTAAATAAAAAAAGTACAGTGTGGGTTTTAAAAAGAAAAACAATGTATGTATCAAAATTGTGTCCCTATTTATAAGTGGACTTTTTTAATACGTTCAATAAACTTTCACACACCAGGTGAAGCGCTGAGACAGTGGTAAGTCCGTTTTTTTTGTTGTTTGCATTTTACGTTATCAAATAATGAAATAATACCTAAGAGCAAAAAATAACAAACTCTATCTTTATTTACACTGCCTTCCGTCGTAATTTGCGTCTGGCATTGCGGCGTTGTCAGATTTTATTTTACTTTAAAGTCGCTTTTCTCTAAAAAAATGCCGTTTTGACCCCCATGTTATATGAAACCTTTTGCTTCTTTTGACCCCCTCTATCACCCATTTAAATAATGACTATCATAACGTTTACACCCTGTATTTCTTCTGCTTTCGAAAAAAGTACCTCTAAATTTATCACCCACTGTTACTCTAGCGTCTACATAGCTTAGATTTGGTGTAGCCTCAGCCTAAGCTGTCCCGTCAAGATTTCATTGGTGATATACGATTGACGAAGTAGTAGGATAGGATCTATATATATTTCAGCGGAGTTAAAGTTTAGTTGGGGAAGCTTATCGCCTCCAACTGTGGAAATAGAGAGAAAATTAATGCCGGATGTTGTGCCGAACTTTAATCTTACAGAAAGTTAGTCTAGTAGATACGATATAGAGCATATAAGCCTTTTTGACAAAGAACTTTGTAAAATCTTTTTGTAAAATGACTTGCAGCATTAATTGATGTATTTTCTAAGATGCCTAGCCCTCACATATAATTTCAATCTTCGCAACCATGTTGACAAGTAGGATAGAAGTAATGAAAACAAACTCTATATTGAATCACATAGAAAAAAGCGCACCCAGTAATAATAAATTTATTACAAAGGTTGTCTAGGGGCATGCTTGTTCATGTTGAAATAAAAAACGACAAGCTTTTCAGTCATCTCAATAAATTGGTTTTTGTGATATCGTCTGTTCTTATAGTCATATACCAAAATTCATGACAGTAGCAGAACTCATCGGGCGCCACTACTTTGAGGCGGAGGCCTTCGAAAATGTCTTTGTGAACTGTCGACGAACATCGCTGTAATCAAAAGGAACAGAGTTAAAGCAATGGCGCACAATGAGTTCTGCTACTGTCATCAATTTTGGTATCTCACTATACAAAAAAGTGACTAAGCGATAGGTGTGTTTTCTAGCTAGAATTAGAGGTTAAATAATCATCGTACAATAAGTTGTGAAGAGCTGCTTTATTCTGTTCATCATGCCTACAGTTAGAAGGTGAGAAAATTTACAAAGCGTAGCGGGACTGATAGGGGAGATAGCCATCAAGGTGCACAGACGTCTTGATACGCTGGTGGTTTGTTGCCAGACATGAAATCAAGAAGGCCGTACACGAAGAGTTAGAGGTACGGAGCATGTCGGAAGAATGGCCTGAAACCAAGATCGCCACCGAAGGCTTTTGATCTTAGAAGACCGCTTCTCGTCCACAAGTTCAATTATGGGGCAGTGGAAAGCTTATTACAATGCGAAATGTTTGTCGCTGGACCAACAGTTTTGGCCCTATTTCAGAGCGTCCTCAGTTTGTCCTACCGCTCACCAAAGTGATCGACTGGCTTGGTGTAGAGGACGGCTAAACTGGAAATACAATTGTCTTCGATGATGAATCCAGATTCTGCTTGGGGATGCATGATCGCCGTGCAAGGGTGAGAAAGCGACGAGATTCCCAATTTTCTATAGAAACGTATGGGCAAACCGTTGGAATTATTGTATTGGGAGTTATTGCCTATAGAAACAGGTTACCTTGTTCATCAGAGGCAACATGATTGCCGTGCATTACGTCTATCAAATATATACTTACGCTCACCAACAAACTTTCCCTACAAGATAATGGGCGACCCCATATACAGGGTGACTTCGAAGTTGAGTCATTTATTTTAACAGTGAGTAGATCTGATCAAAAGAAATGTTTTTTTCCTTTACCATGTTTCTGGTAAAATTAAAGGAACAAAGTTATAGCCCTTTGGAAGTTTGAGTACCGCCCTGTCTCAATAATAATATTATGTGTTTGGCAACAACGGATATCGGTTCATCGCATCGGAAACAAAAAAGCGAAAGAATTTGAAACGTTTATCACGTTGTTTTTCGTCAGTCGGTAACGCGTGGGTGAATAGTGATGTTTGTTGCGTGACTCAAACGAAATGAAAAATGGCACATGTTTACGAAAATGCTGAACTTGTGGACATGATTCTTATTTACGGGGGGCAGTCTTTACAAAATGCTGCCGGACGCATCGCGGATTTATGCGAATCGGTTTCCCAATCGAGTGCAACCAACCCCTCGTGCCTTTGTTAATGTAGTACAAAGGGCTCGTGAATCAGGTGACTTAAGACCTCACAGGTGAGAGCATGCCGGTGCTCCAAGACCGCACGATCAAATACAGGTCCGCACTGAAATACTTGTCGGGAGGATACTTTATTAAACAAGGTAACATTTTTTTTTTATTTTTTTTTATTTTTACTCACATATTTTGGTTTATCTTCCTTCTACAATCATTATCTGAAAATTAATGACTCAACTTCAAAGTCACCCTGTATAACCAGAATTACGTTGCTCCATTGTGTAGGAAATCAAGTCGATCTCCCACACGGGTATCACGTATCTTGAAAGGTGACATGCCGATTTTTGTTGACATTGATGATAATTACATGGAGTTCTTGTCTCAAATACACTTAATTGAGATTCAAAGCTAGAAATTAGTTGCGCAGCCACTTTTTCTTATCCATTCTGGAAATTACTTATACAAATTTGCTGAATTTCAAAAATCAGATAGATAAGAAATAATTATATTCACAATTACAAGCCATATACATGCTACCAGCAACAACACACAACGCGGGCGCGGTGATGATTTCCTATAATTCTCCTCAGTTTTTTGTAATTTATAACTTTGAACATAACCTCTCTTCAGAAATCACAACATATAAATAACCTGTCATATTCGGCATATTCAGTAATGATTTTCTCTCACAGCA